ACGGTTTATTTGCATCAGTCCATTCACTCAAGTAGTTGAATCGGCCGGCCATACCGTTGAAGGAGTATTTTGGGACTAGTTGGATCTTCCTCTAAAATGACTAGTCCGCAGAAGACGGGTAAAGAGTCTGTAAATATAAGAATTATTCCGCGTGGCTTTTATCGACATCGTTTGGGTGAAAAATGGTATTTTGGGCTATCGTGTAACAGCTGAAGGCGAATAATTGAAGACAGACAGAAAAAACTGATATAGCTGCGTCAGCAAAGTAGCAGCATCTCAACTACTCATTGATAACCGAGCAGTACACGATACATTGTATGTATATTTTTTCTAACTTTAATCGGTTTTTGTGACGATCGAACAGGGGTCACTTTCTTGTCTGAAAGCGGTATTATTCAATTTTTAACAGGTTGAAGCAAGTTTATTGCGCCATGAAACTGGTCGCTGCTTGGAATGGATAGCCGACAATAAATCGAGATTGCGCCGTCTCAAGAGCACCATTGAGACGAATGTCCGATTACAGGATTGCATTGAACTGGTTCGACAAGGTGAACTTTTTTGATTTTCTTTGAAATAATTCAGGGGCCATCCTTCAAGGTAGGGGGAGAGGGGGTGGGGGGGTTGGAGTGGCGAGAAGGGGGGAGGAGGGGTGCGAGAAGAGGTAAGTACATTTTGATCATTTTCCGTAACCTTCATCAGCAATCATTCCAAGTAGCGCCTCGTTGAATCATCGGGCAGTCGTTTTTAGTAATACCCTTTGCATTATTATCACTATTTATTATGTTAAGGCAAAAGATTGGAAGCGGTGCATTATGCGAGGCGACATCTGTCGAATTTAGCCAAAGATCACTGGAATGAAGAAATTGTAAAAGTTAGTCATTTTTCCAGCTCTCCTTCCTTTAATTACTCGCAAATAGTAGGTTGTGCCCAGGAGTCGTTCCAGGCTCTTTTGTTTGTTTGTGGCCATTTTTTATTCGGTTATATGCTCTCCATTTTGTGTTTGTTTGGAATAGAGTTCCACTTGCAACAAACAGTGTTGTTTTTCAGGTTATGGGTCTTATTGGGTTTGGTATTCCGTCGCGATCCCGTGCTTATGAGCAATATTTTAATCCTTCTCGGTGGAAACTGCTGACTGAGCAGTTCAGACAGGAGAATGCTCACGTCTATAAGGCTAGTTGCCTTACATAATTCATCCAGAAACCATTGATTTTATTATATATGCGCTGTTTTTCGAATTTATTTCGGTTTGGTAACAAAAAAGATTCAGATCAGCTCCGTCCCTTGCTCCTTTTTTTTCAAATTGGGATGACTTCAGCACATGAGACAAAAACAAAGATGATTGGGAAATGTAGCTAGGGTGGGAGCAAGATGTGGGAACAAGAAGGGGTTAACTGTAAGCAAACAATTGGAAGCAAAGTAACAAACTACTAGCAAGAAACAGGCTTCAAAAAAGGAGGATTTATCTGCTTCGGATTTCCTGGCGCACAGCTTACTCTGTAATCTCATTTTTGTTTAAATTTTTAACATTGGATAGGAAGAAAAAGGAAAAATGAAAAATTATTGGAATGATAATGGTTGCTTTTGAAAAACTGTTTAGTGAAGGTCCACTGAAGAACTTTTTTTAGCTGATGAATTTTTCTTATTTCAACGCATGCATGTGTATGGGTCTGTCAGGCACGAAGACGCCACATTGTCGACCTCGCCAGGATGCACAATGCCCCACATGCAAACCGGAACTGTATGCGCTTGCCGAAAATCTTCCCTACACACATATAACACATTCGAGGTAAAATTTTTATCACCGTCGGTTTCTGAAAACAAATATCGTCTTCTGTAAAGTCAAAGTAACCCGAATGGTTATAAGTTCCAACAGTATTTGCCTGTTGGCAAATGTGTCGATGGCTTCGTTTTTCTAGGGTTGCTTAGAATTAAACTGATGACGGTTTCATAGAGTATTTTTCTCAAGAAAATGCATTTAATTTTCATGACCTGTTTTTCTAGATAATATTATTTTTGATTTTTGAATTTTGAAGCTAGTCCAACCCAAAAAAAAGATAGAAAAATTGATTTAAAACACTATTTACTGGTAAACATTTTATTTGTCATAACTGGGTTTATTCTCATCAGAAAAAACCCATCTCCATAGCACTTCACATGAGATATTGGATGTGGCGGATTATGACTAGGGACAGGCAACCTAAAATAACGGCATTTATGGTATGAATGCTTGTAGAAGGCGCCAAATTTGATAACATAAGTGTTCTTGATGATTTTCTGCTTAATAGACTCCTCATTGCTATGTTAGTATTTTGCGCTATGCCAGCTGAATTTGATTTCTTTGGAGCGGACAAATTTTTTTTTTTTTTCTTAGCCGACCCTATTTTGGAATAGTGTTAATGTGGAAACTATAGAAAATAGGAAAAATCGGTTGTTATGGAACCTATGCAGATTTTGGTAATTTTTTCTTAGCGAATTATATCTGGGTAGGGAATTACTTTACTCTTCAAATACATTGCCAGGTTGCTGGTTTTAATGACACCGATTGCACCCATCCTGCTTGCTAACGTACGGATTTATAGTGTTATGGTTTTTTTGGATTTATATGCATAAAAATCCATGATTTTGTTGGGCTCTTGTGTTTATGCTTACACACCCGTTGTTCTTTAATCTTTTGGGCTCTTATATTAGATGGCTAGCAGGCAAAGTTTTTTCGTAAGTGATGTTATTCTGGTGCTTAAAATTGATATTTGACTTGTACAGGAAGTTAGCCAATCTCTCTACAATTCGTTTATTCATTTTGATGATAAATTGATTTTAGTCATTGCAGGTAGTCAAAACCACGTTTGGCTTACTTCTAAGCAACTTTTGCAAGTAAAAGCCATCAGGAGAGTTATGAATAAGTAGCTGTTATTGACATCTTCCTTAAGCTACTTCTTAGGGTTTTAGATTATCATAAAGAGTGAATACGAGAGGATTTTAACTTTTGATTTTACGTAGTTGGCACAGAAAGATATTTTAGGCGGACTCTCAGTTGTTCCATGCAAAAATTAGGCTGTATTTGGCGGATTTTTAAAAAGAGTGAATTTTTAGGCTGATCTGTAGCTTTTCCGGTGAACCAATTTCTGGCGATAATCAACCGTTTATGCTACCGAATGGTTATGTTTATGGTGCAAACTCGATTGCAAAGTTGCGCAACGAGTCGGGCGAAGTCGTTTGCCCAAGGACTGGAGATGTCTTTCCTTATGATCAAATTTTACGCCTTTATGTCATGTAAATATTTTGTTGCGAAATTTTAATGTTCTTAGGATGTAATACCAATATTCGTCAACACTACACGTTCGTCAACACTACTTTTAAAGAACACGTCATTTTCTCAGTGGCATTTTATCCTTCCCCTCCTAAAGTTAATTCACCCGCCTTCTGATGCTTTGTATTTTAATAGACTTATTTTAGTTATCCT